CCATCACATATTCTTCTTCTTCTTCTTTATTAGTAATTCTGCTTGTTCATTGGCGGATTAATACCTCTATGGAAGGTTGTCACTCCATCTTTTGCGCGGTCGTCCGATACTTCTGCCGATTGGTGATTTATCTCTTGCTATTTTGACGACACGGGCCTCCTTCATTCTGCTTATGTGGTTATTCCATTTTTTTTTCTATTTTGTATCTATTCATTTATACGCTGTACGTTACATTTTCTTCTAATATCTTCACTTCTCTTTTGATCTCTCAGCGTTTTTCCTGTAATTCTTCTCAGTACTCTCAACTCTGCTGTTTCCAACATCCTTTGCGTTGTGGCTGTGCCGGGTCTTGTTTTTGAGGCATATGTCATTATTGGTCTTACACAGACTTTATAAATTCTTGACTTTATTTGTCTGGTTCGCCATATAGTGTTATAAAGGCATCCTGCCAGTCTATTTGCTTTTTGTACTTGATTTCTCACTTCTTTGCCCAGGCCTCCATAGTTATACAACGTAATTCCCAGGTATTCCCATCATATTTGATTGTATCAGCATATCTAAATATTGATATGCTTATCCTTTTCATATAAATCACTTTCTGCATTTTATTTTCTTGTTTTATTGGTTTTTTATTTCATCAATTATTATTCTTTTGGTCTCAAGGAGAAGCTTTAACCTCTAGATAGTGCGTTTCCTAGTGACGAAGAGGGAAATGTTCTCATCATCATAGGCTGGTGAGGCGGGAAAGAAACGTTAACAATTCTAATCCTTTCTAGGAAACAACGAAATTATTAAAAAGAAAAATGTCTCAGTATTGTAGCATTTGTATTTTCCTTGATATATGTATATGTGTATATGTATATATGTACACTTCATCTAATTTACATACCGATGCACGTCATCGGCGTCATAGCCCGTGACGTCACATCATACCAACACGAAATATTTAGGCGGTAGGTGTGTTCTTTTTTAGAATCACTTTGCCGAGTAGATTGATATTACAGCCACTAAGCATATTTTATTATATACGCGTAGAAATAATATTTAAAAATTTCTATTAATATTTACTTTAAGAAATACACAATAATATGTTTCATTTAATTTGTATAAATGCATTATAAAGCGTTTTTATGAAGAACATTTGTTCGGAACACACTGTAACTGTAATCGAAAGAATCTGAAATTTTGGCATAAATTGGTAACACTTATTTGACAGTTGCGGTGTTGACACTTTTTGTACTTTATTATTTTGAATTTTAAAGTGAATAGCTTTTGTTTTATATTTTTACCTATTTAATAAAATCTGTACATTTTAGAACAAAATTAGTGTGTTTCATTTTAAAAATGTCACATAAGCATTTAAAGAGTCGTTGTAAAGAGATGGCAATACTTTTGCAATAATTATGTGATCTATTTGATTTAAAATGGATTCAGGATTTTTTTATACATTGTAGATATACTTTGATAACTATGTCAACTTCGATCTCTGACGTAGATAATGACGTGCATCGGTATGTAAATTAGATGAAGTATATATATTTGTATGTATATGTTTATATATATATTGAAAACCCCTCGTATATGTATTAAAATAAAATAACGAAGAATATTTTTCACGTTTCTCTGTTCCTATCTTCTTCTTCTCGTGGCACTCCTAGCGGAGATTGGAAATCATCATGGCCACTGCGACTTTGTTAGCAGCGCGCCTAAAAAGTTCAATCGAACTACACCCGAACCATTCACGTATATTACGAAGCCACGATATTTTTCTTCTTCCCACACTTCTTTTGCCCTTAATTTTGCTCTGCATGATGTTTCTTAAAAGTTCGTACTTTTCACCTCTCACAATGTGCCCCAAGTATTCCATCTTTCTAGTTTTTATCTCATTTAGAATTTCGCATCTTTTGTCTAAAGTTTGGAGTACTTGCGTGTTAGTGACGCGGTCTATCCATGATATTCTGAGAATGCGCCTATAGCACCACATCTCGAAAGCTTCGATGTTTGTTATGGTCAACTGTTTTAGTGTCCAAGCCTCCACTCCATATAACGGTAGAAAAGACATAACACCGCAGCATTCGTATTCGTAACTTTATATTGATATCACGATTGCAAAAGAGTTTGCGCATTCTATTAAAGACTATTCTATTAATCTAGCGGTTTCTATTCTACATCTAATCTCTTTTGTTTGATCAGTATCATCTGTTCCTATAGTACGTATTAAACACCGAATTCTTTCAATTCATCTTAGCGTCACCGAGGTCGAAAACAAACACATTTTGTTTGTTAACAAATTGTGTTTTTGTGTAAACACAGAGTTTGTTTATTAATACCACAGGTGCGTATTTTGTCTATATTTCTTTAATCGAATCCGACTTGAAATTTTTGTACGTCGAAGAAGTGGGATATTTTACGTTTCAGTTCCCGTTAAGTGTTTTGTTTATACCAAGTTTTTTGCCGGCAAGATAATTGCTCATTCTCACTTGGGTCGCTGTTAGAGGCAGTCGGCTTAAGTGTGGATCCAAATTTTATGTCAAATTTGAAATGTTCCTCGTTGTTCGTCTCTTTTTATGAAGAATATGTAGTGTATTGTGGCAGTTATTTTTCCATCCTCGTTTTGTTTTTCCCTGGTTGTCATCCCAGGCTTTTTGGCAGTATGGAGATAAATTTGTTCATGTGTTTGTTACACAGAGAGTGAAGCCCAGTTCCATCCCCAGAAATTTTAATTGTTCCAATTATAGTTCCAGAAATAAATTATACAGTGAAATCCAGGTAACTTTTTTGTGATCAAATTTTAAAGTAAAGACAGACAGTTTTTTAAAGTAATAATTGCTTGCATTAAAATTTAAAAATTGTTATATTTAAAATTGTAAATTTTAGGGTTCAACTTTAGCTGTCATTTTAATTTTTCTGTTTTAAATTTAATGTTAACATATGACAGCTAGCTTTATTATTTTTTGACATTAGTTTATTTTGGTTGTTTTAAAAAACGGTTAACCTCTATGCAGTAACATTTGTAAGTTTTTGTAGTATCTTCAACTCCTAGAGTTTGGAAACGGAAGTTTTCTGTGTTATTTTTGATATAAATTTTTGTAACTATTAATCTAGTAATTTGTGCCATTTAATTTTGTAGCTGTTTGTGGCAGGACACAATAAATGTTTAATTTTTTTTAAACCGTTTTGTTTATTTATGTTGACTAACTCTCTAATCCCTTTTTTTGAGTTTCATTTGAAAAGATATATTCTGTATTAATTGATATAAGGTTGAATGCTCGAGTAAATGAACTTTGAAAAATAGGGCTAGTATCGAGCACAGTTTAATTAAATATTGCCCAAGTGCCTCTTTCTAATGGTTCTGCCTACATAAGAGGCATCTACCATTAGAAAGCTATCTACCAGAATTTCAGAACATTTAAAAAGACCAAACTCTTCAAGTTTTGGTCAACATTTACAGTCTAGTAAACACAGAAGATTTGGAGATCACAAAGGAAACGAATGGAAACTTTCATGTCTTAACACCCAAGTTAATTTAAACTGTACTAAATTTAAACCTATTTTAAAAAACTTTATTGCAGCTTCACCTCGTGGTGGACCCAGCTCGGCTGTTTAGACTTCCTGCACTGAGTATATCCATTAAGAATCTATTTATTTCATGCTTTGTTCAGCATTACTATTGTATTCTTTAACAATTTACACAACTAGCTTGCTCGGGTTCAATTGATCCACAGTTGGAGTTAATTTCACTCTGCATACCTCTGCATAATCTACATATACCAATTCCACAGTTTTATATTTCAACACCTGCCACCGTTGGTCAGTTGGTCTTTAGTAACGCTATTACATATTAGTTTTACAGTTCTCCCATTGGCTTGAGGTTTAACTGAACTACTTGAACTATACCCCATTTATACACTGCCTTCAATTTTGATTTAATTTTTAATATTTCAATTTCATAGTCAATTTTCTTTTCGTTTTTACAGTATTGAGAGTGCCTGGTAAACCATTTTATTGTAGTCAACCACCCACTGTCCAATAGATCGTTTGGTCTATTTCTTTCATTCACAATTTATGTACACTTGTTTGTCTTTGTTTTAGTGTAGTGTTTTGTACAATTTTGTTATTACTAATGTTTTTCACATTCTACGCTTGCTGGATAGCTCATATTTGACGAAGTAAGTCTAAAACGTTAATCACAAAAACTTTTTTTGCATCCATAGTTTTTTATCGAAGTTAAATAATTTCCTTCATCTAAAAAATGTTTTCTTGGCTTATTTCAGATGCCCCCGAAGATGCTATTTTAAGCGAAAGTACTTGGGCAAGATTTAATTAAACTTGTGCTCGATAATAGCCCTATTTTCAAAGTTTATATTCTTTATGTTTAATAAATAATTATTTCAATAGTTACAACTAGCTGTTGTAATGGTTATAATTTGGCACCTCGAAGAGGTATCCTTTTTAAATTGCTAGAGGTGTTTCCTTTTGTTTTGTTTGTCCCAAGAGATTCATATAAGTACCACTTGTTTCAATTTTGTAGTTGCCCCAATCCGACTACTTGCCATTTACTTATCCACGACCCCAGCTCTCCAAACAAACCCTGAGTGCCGTTCGTATAAGTATCGATTATTTTGTTTGCCCTATCTCCACCTCCAGTATCTTATGTCCTCAATTTTCTACCCCTTATAATCATACCCTACGTAGTAGGCAAAATATATTCGTTACAGTATGAATTAATCAACGAGTGGCGACGTACGTTATGAAAAAGAATAATAAATTCTGGAACTTGGAATCTACCAGGAATAGCTATGCTTATTGGAAATTCCCTTTCTTTTTTTAGTAAACTGAAAACTAAGAATTTTTTAAATCGAAACTCGATCCTGCTTCAATTCTCATCATATTTGGATAGTTACATATAAGCTACAGAGGCTTTATATTACATCAATTAAAATAACTAAACCATGAAAGCAATTGTATCCTTTTACACTTTATATAATTTTTATTTTTAGGGTGAATTATTGGCTAAATCTCTGTTTCAAACCAACTGGGTCAATTGTGAGGAGGATCTTAAAAAAGACTTTTTATTTGTAATAATGAGATGCCAACGACCGTCCGTTTTGAAAGCAGCTTCATTTGGAGTTATGGACCTTCCTATGTTTTTAGGTGTTCTGAAGGTTTCATATTCTTATATAACGCTAATGTCAAATAATAACTAAAATTGTGTACATAGAAATATGGTTCATAGCTACAAAAAAATAATAATAAATGTATTAGATAAAAGTGTAATGGCAAAAGTATTATATTTGATAGCTATGTAGTTAATGCACTTGTATTAGATAAAAGTGTAATGACAAACGTATTATATTTGATAGTTATGTAATTAATGCACTTGCAATTAAAAATAAATAAAACCAAAAATAAACGGCTTTTCTTTTGTTTAAACGAGCACTTATTGTCACATGTTATAAAAAGACTCAAACCTCAAACCTAGCAGTAGCACTCAGTGGCGTTTATGCTTCCAAAACAACTTGAAAAGGCAGATAACAAATGTCAACTCAGAAGTGATGCTCGAAATAAGCAACGAAGAAAAAAAAAGAGCAGTAAAAGAAATAAAAAGGAATAAAGCTCCTGGAAGCGATGAAATCCTAGCAGAAATGCTAAAGGAAGGTGGAGAAGAAGCCATTACATATCTAAAAATACTATTTAATAAATGTATATTCCAATGCAACATACTCGAACAATGGAATACTGCTAAAACAATACTAATACACAAAAAGGGAGACACCACAGACCTGAAAAATTATCGACCAATTTCACTTCTTTCACAACTTTACAAAACCTTTACAAAGATTATTGCAAACAAGTTAACAATTAAATTTGACTGATATCAACCAATAGAATAAGCCGGATTTTTTTGTGGCCTAGACTTTCGTCATTCAGCCAGTCTCCAAAAGCCGGATTTAGAAAAGGGTACAGCACCTGTGACCATCTATAGGTCCTAATAGAAAAGACTAACGAAAAGAATCTTAAGAGAAAAGACTAACGAATACAATCTTCCATTATATCTGGCTTTTATAGATTATGAAAAAAAAACATACAGAAGTTAAAGCACTTCACAATTTAGTGCTTAGATATAAAAAACATAAAGTTAAAACTTTTAAAAAGTGTCGTCAAAATATATATAGAGTAGCATAACGTTTTCGATCTAATATGATCATCCTCAGTGCCTATGGCTGTGACATCCATACATGGGTTTACATCATCCCAAATTTAAATTATATTGTGACTCTAGGTCGATGACATTGGGTAAAATTTAATACTTGAGGAGCTACATGTCTCCTTGCTCGGTTTTAACACGTGATTTTTGTCAGTTAAACCGACACAGACAAACTGTCCAACGTCAGTTTGGATTTTGAAGTTTTTAGTCGTGGTAATTTGAGAAGACCCATCCAAATAATAATATCAATTTTTTTTTACATTCTAAAGCACTAGTAGGAACCCATTGCTTTGTATATTTTTTACCATGGACTGTGTTGTTGCCTGGAGAAACTTATTTCGCTTACATGTTATTCTGGTGAACCATGAAACCTATAATATCATTGGTTACGAAAATCTTAAAGAACTCATATAGAGTTTTATTTATATACTGCTTATAATAATATGGCAGTACTCCATATAAGGCTATCTAATGAAATAGCGTCAGCAGTATCAGTTTCTTTAGTATCTCTGAACTGTTTAATAACAGAACTGATTATGTTGTCGACTGTATTGATTTGTTGTTCTTCTATCACTAATTCTTGAGGCCAACTTTCTGAAAAAGGTTTCATCCAAAAAATAATTTACTTTTAGATTATAAATAAAATAAAATGAAAAATAAAGACTATTTATCATAAAATCGCTTACCTCTGTTAATGTCATAAATGAAGTACTAGGATCTGAATCTGAATTGCTTGTCTTAGCACGTTTTTTTAGAGAATTATTGATAATAATTTTGTTCTCGTCGGGTGATTATTTAACTCTTCATCTGACGGAAATACTCGGAAAACAACAATGGAGAAATGACAAGCAGCCGAAATCTGCTGAAAATTACGATCACACAAGAATATTATCAAGGACTTTACAACAGTACAGAAAAACCACCTGACAGAACTCAATAAGTTCTTCTTCTATAAGTTCCATCTTCTATCGAAGGTTGAAAGTCATCAGGGCTATGCGAACTCTGATGATTTCCGCTCTAAAAAGTTCTGCATTACTGCATTCAAACCATTCCTTTAAGTTCTTAAGCCAGGATATTCTTCGTCTTCCCACATTTCGCTTTCCTCGGATTTTGCCTTGCATAATAAGTTGTAATAATAAGTATTTTTGCCCTCTCATCACATATCCTAAATACTTAAGTTTTCGTCTTTTGATAGTTAATATTATTGCCGCCTCATTTACTATCCTTCTAGTTACTTTCACGTTTGACATTCTTTGAATCCATAATACTCGTAGGATTCTTCTGTAATACCAAAATTCAAAGGCGGCCAACTTATTCAGATGGACTTGTTTTACTGTCCATGCTTCCAAGCCATAAAGAAGAGTAGAGAACACGTAACACCAAAGCATTCTCAGGCGTAGTTCTAACCTTATATCCCGACAACAAAAAAACTTTTTAAGTTTAATGAATGATGCACGTGCTATTTCAATACATGTCTTAATTTCTTTGGTTTGTTATTATCCGTTATTATTACTGTATCGTCTGAAAAACGTAAGTTATTTAAAACTTCTCCATTGATAGATATACCTTCTATTGAGTCTGAGAGCGCTTCTTGAAATACCGCTTCACTGTAGATATTGAAAAGTAGAGGGGACAGCACGCAAACCTGGCGGACTTCTCTCAATAAAATATTGAACTCTAAAATTAAGAATGTAAACTCCGAACTCCAGCCTTAAATTAGTTAAACAGAAATAATAAAAGTAAAAGGTCAACAAGAGTTCTGGATATTTCCCCATGTTAAATCCCAAAAGAAATCGCTAAGGTCCATTCTGGTCATTTTTGACGCTTTTTGTGGTAGAGGTAGGACGACTTATCGGATCGTGACGTGCTAGGTATCATCGAAAAGGTAAGAGAGTAACGAATACAAAATCCACAAGGAAAATAATTCCTGCAGCTGGCTGTATACCACGTATCACAAAAAAAGAGGTTAGATCTTTGTAAATGGGTATATTAAAAAACCCTTAAAAGGGCTACATCAAATTACATAAACGTTTTCGGAATAATAATTCCTTCATCAGGTTTAAAATTGCAAGTTAACATGCCTGAGCCACCATCAGGATAAAAACCCTTTAAAATACTTAAGGTTACAAAAGATTGTACATAATGTTGTAATTAAAATTTGATGTTTAATATTAAATTAAATTTAACTTTAGGTAACATACACCCATGTCTTAGGTGAGTTCCAGCGTCCGGAGAGTAAACCTCTTCCAACGGACTCCAGCTCCAGCTGGTTCGAGTTACCATTTTGGTGGCTCAGGCATGTTAACTTGCAATTTTAAACCTGATGAAGGAATTATTATTCCGAAAACGTTTGTGTAATTTGATGTAGCCCTTTTAAGGGTTTTTTAATTTTTAAATTAACCCATTTACAAAGATCTAACCTCTTTTTTTATTTTGTTTTAGTAACGAATACGTTAACACAAAAACAAAAATGACATAGTATAGCCAAAAGGACACTAAGCTCGTAACGTCTAAACTGCTTAACGTACTACTACGTGCAAGGTATCGATGGAAAAGGGAGGTGGTAATCAATATGTTAAGACAAAAAACAAATGCAAAAACTTTGTCGAAACGGTGCTATATCGTATCTCCGTTGTTGCAGGTTGATTTTACGTGTAGTTCATCTCAGATGTATATTTTTTAAAATTGTTAACGCCTCTGCTCGCTAGGGTAGAAATTTCATTACGTATACCTGCACAGAAATTTCCTCTCGAATGCAACCATTCTGATTTAAATACTCTTCTCTCGCAATGTGAGTGAGGTTTACTCAAAAGTCCATCTCCATCTCGATGAAGGGGTTTTTGACCATCAGCACAGGCAATGTATCTCAAAAAACCAACACAATGATCCAAACAAATAATTTTTCTAAATATAGTTTTTGGATGTAGTCTTTTCCCTGCACGTTGTATTTTCTTCTTGTAAGCCAACATTGTAGATCCGCCTGTAAAGTGAATTAATGCATGAAGGTGTTTAAGTGCAGTCCTTTCGTCGTATGCTACAAAAATAACATCGGCAAATGGAATACCATTTTACATTAGAAGCACATACTAGAAGAGAAAAGTCACTCTCATTTAACAGTAAAGTCAATGATATGATTCTCTTGGTGATTCTTCGTAATCCTTTGCCATATCCTCTAACGAAAGGGCATTAATATCTTTGACACTCAAAAGAGGCAAATAGACTTTTTTACTTTTTGACAAAATAGACATATTTTAACTGAATGTTTTAGAACAAAGAACTGAACTCTCAAAACTGTCTCACCAGACTAAAAGAGTCCTTACGAAGTCCTTAGATTTATCAGAGAACTACGAACACATTTATCTACCAGTACAGCTTTCCCCTCTCTAATTGATTATTTCAGGAATGCGCCATTACCACGGTCAAAAGTCAAAGTGTGCCTTAAGATGTATTAGGTTAGATGATTTGAGTGTCTTTGCACGTCACTGTCACAAAGGTGACAGCTATAATATCAGGCAGTAAACATAAAGCAGGCCATAACATCAGGCAGAAAGGTGATAGATGAAATAAACAAGTGCTATAGTGGTAACTGGAAATCAAAATACCCAAATAAAGACCACAGATGATGTGAGTAAATGATATAAAGGGACAAGAATGTCCAAAATGCATAAAAATCGCTAATTACAGAGAAAAATATAAATCAGAGGATGAGGCCTACATCCGAACTTAAATATAAAAAGGGCTTTAGATATATTGATTATTGATAGATAGGTAGACATTAAAACATTAATTGGAATAGAAATTGATCTCAAAGAACTAAATATTTATCGCATAGGAGACCGTAAAGCCTATATTTTTATTATCAGCCTCTATATATTGGGAAAATATGATTCAGATTATAGCAGATTCTATAGGAAATAAATGACCTTTAAGTGTCATTGAGAAATTAAAATGTTCTAATAAAATATTTAATGTGTACCGATATAATTCACAAACTAATAA